AAGCCAGTGCTTGGTTCAGCTAGTTACGCATACTGCGGATCTGCATGCTGCACTATGTTGACTGCAACCATTTCCTCTCACCCTATAATTTAGAAATGGATTTCTACAGAGTCTGTTGCTGCATTTCTTCAATGTATTTCAATACTAAACTTTTTTTAATCCTAAGCGCATTCTTCAGAGCTTGCCTTAATTTCTATTTGGAAAAAGCATTGCTGACCACACTACTTTAATGGTGTACAGTTCGCCTTCAAATACAGTCACTACACTTTAAACATTCTGAAGTGCTTTGAGACGTTCTGATGTTACGAGGTGCTACATCATACATGATGATATTGTAGATGTTCTGTAAAATTTCTATAAAACCCAAATATGGAATAGCAAATATTGACTGGCAATTTGTGATGCGGTTTAAAGGAAAAATATAAATTGGTCTCCAGAAAACTGGGATAATCTTGAAATCTAGCATATTCTTGGCATCATTTATAGGAAACGATCAGAAGTTAATACAATCTTGTCCACTCCCTCCTTTTCCATCTGCGCCATGAACGGATTTGGCAATTGACACAGTCATCAACGGGACCAATTCAAACATTCTGCCGTCTCTTCTGCTGAGAAAACTCCTCTAAGCTGACCGCACAGCCAGAATAGTCGGCTGGTGTGCCACGCATTGTACACAATACAGTGGAGCTCACGTTTCTCCAACTTCCCGTGGAGTCTCCCCCGCAATTGTAGTCCCCTCAGCAGAACCCCACCCTTAGGGCACGGCTCCATCCTCAAGACATATGAAACACTAAGTCACATGACCTGTAACCTCTCAAAAAAAAACTGGAACCAAGCCAGAAGCAAATAACAGCTGCAGATGTTCCAGTTATAGGAAAAGGAAAATAAATCATCCATGTACACCAACTGCACACCACATGCAAACCTGTCTTTGAATTAATTAGTAGATGCAGAACAGAATGAAGTACTGGAAGAATGAACACCATGAACAGACATGAGATAGAAATGAAGATCTAGGCCAGAAACGGCAGTTTAAATAGAGACTGAAAGAGTTTTTGTTCCAATTCACCTCACACAGTTTTTGTGATGGGTTCCAAAGTCAAGATTCAGGAGCCAAAGATATTTCGAAAATATAACACAAGCAGAAGGGTCTTTGCAACCTCCCAGCTGATCCTCCATATGAATACAGGTAAAGGTCAAAGGAAATAGCTCATATCAGCAAAACAGCCCAGCTAACCTGAAGAGAGTTCAAAGTGGATGCCTTGAGCAGAAGATTGGCGGTTAAGTACTGTAACACAAATACTGTAGTAAGTGAGAAAGCACTGCTCTCCATAGTACAGTGATTACTTTGTGAAGCCCTTGAGACATTTCAATATGATAAGATGCTCTGAAAATATAGGTCCTTTTTTAGCAAACAAAATAAAGAGTAAGTACATTATTGTGTGAGATCCTCTCACTCATTTTCAAATCCCCTCATGCCCTTGCACCTCCCTACCTATCTGATTTGCTTAAGTTTGTCCCTCGCCCCCTCCGCTCCATGTCGGTGGCCGCGCCTTCAGTCATTACGCCCCAAAGCTCTGGATCTCTCTCCCTCAATCCTCCTGCCTTGTCCCCTCCGTCCCCACCTTCAAATCCCACCTAAAGACCTTCCCTTTTGATCATGCTTACCATTACCTCCTCCTCTCCCTCTCCCCCTGGCTCAGTGTCAGACTCCGTCACTGTCCAGGATACTGCCCAACATGAAGGTCGTTTATTAAATGCAAACTGTTGTTGTTGTTAAGTAAGTGGATCAAATATACTTTAAAGTATAAATTTTTTAAAATTATATTTCAGATTTTGTAATACAAGAATGCCTTAGACCTTTTACAGAGCCACATTAATTTTAACCCTCTGCACTTCAGCTGTTTTAACACATTAAGATTTGCAAAGATGGCAAAATGTTTAGTATTCTTCAGCACAAAATATGTGCAAGAAATGGTTACAAAGTTAAACTTCCTTTTCTGTCTTTAGGGCTCCCTGCGTCATACAATATTGCTGGGAGCGTTCTTAGAATCTCTGCCAATACCATTTCTGGAGGACAAGAACAGCAGCCTCATGTCCTGCTTTTTCCTCTCTGGGAAAGAGACTTGGCACATCTCAAAGAGCCTCAGTCAATATCAGGAATTTGTGCCAAGGAGAATTTCTGCAGTAGTTTTGCAAAACATTAATAAGATCATAATAAGCAGGTTTTGGTAAAACAAAATAGTAAAGCCCAGTTGTAACGCAGTAATTGGGGTCCATAAAATCCCAACCAGTCTTATAACAGTGCTCAATAATTAGTCAGTGCTTCTACATTTTGACATCAGTGATCACAAGACCAGTTTGGCTGGCTTCCCACACTAAAACACGACCAACTTCCAGGTTATCAGGTCGCCGCAAACATCATTTCCTGCGTGCTGTGCATGTGCAATATTAGCGGGTTGAGTTTTATTTTATTATGCTTCGAGAAGCACAAAATGGTATTTTTTCTACATGTCATAACACATTTCATGAGTATCTTGATAATTTGGGATTTTTAAGCAACATATTCTACACATTACTTCAGCCAGCTGTCTGAACTGCAAAATGGAATCACATGTCCCTCACTTAACTACAGTAGTTATATGAAAGAGCTGTTTGTACTCGATTGTAGATTTATTCCATATGTGCAGATTTATCATGGGTAGTTTATTTTTTTAAAAATCAAATCAAGGCTAGTTTTGCTCCCAGCATGAGCCTCTGAGAAATACCAAGTATTCACCACAAATCAGAGTCACAGCAGATCCCTCCAAGGTGTTCCTTTCACTCCATTTCCCTCTCTTACCATTAGAAATTTGAGACTTATTATGCTACTTTTACTATTTCTTACTCCTTCTAATGCTGTTGTTTACAGCAGTTCAGCAAGTGGTCTGCCTGTGAGCTGTTTTTTCCAGTGTGTTCTGTTTTTCCCCACTCTATTATGGGTAGCTATGTTCCTTCTTAGCTGCTGTTTCTTTCCTTCTCACCAGTGCTAGTCCTTTCTCACACCTCGGATCTCTTCCAGCTTGGCCTTCTGTTTACAAAGTGTTGCAAGACAGATTGCACAGAAAACTTAATGCTGAAACGTTCCACTGGCCAGCATTAATCCAGACAATATTACTAATGGTGGTCCAAGCACATGTGATTTGGCAGCTGTTTTAAATTATGAACACACAAAATCTTTGATGCAGTTTGCTACATGCAGATACACAGAAGCATGTTAACCTTATGGGTTAGGTTGCACATGAAGCCACTGTATCCTCTATTCAGACCTCTTGAGTGGTCCCAGAACAGCGGGCAACATTCTCACCCTTGCAATATCAGAATCAAGTAGTGAAAATGTACTGCTTACTGCAGATTCCCCAAAAGTTTTGCAAAGTTTCTCTTACAGAACATTGGCTTCAAAATTAAGGCTTTGCCAAATACTGAAACCTCTAAAACGTTACATAAATAGACTTAGGCCAAATTTCTTCCCGTAGGTGCATCACATTTCCACGATCTCAGTAGTTCATGAATCACCTTGTTCAGCACAGCATTCAATTCTCTCATTCCTTATTTTATCCTTCAATCCCATTTCTAATCCCATTCTTAACAGTTTCTTTTTTAATTGGCAGTATTAACTGGTTTAGCTATTCTACATACCCAGAATTCCGGAGGGGGAAAAGTTCTTTCTAATCTTGTGTTTTTTGAGGCTTGTTAAATTTATACTCATGCCCTTTAAGTTGTACAACCCATCTACATTTTCCATTCCTCTGGGCTTTTTAAAACATCAATCATGTCCTCTCTCAATCTACATTTTTTCCAAAGAAAATACATTCAATTGTTTTCTTCATAACCTAGAGCTCTATGTCCTCAATTCATCCTTGCCAGTCTTCTCTGAACACTCTTCCAACATAATACATTTTACAAAGGTTGCATATATTACAATATTTCAGAGTTTCTTCAACAGTAATCTATATGAAGTTGGGTCAACTTCATTGCCCTCAAGTTGCAACCAAAACAGCTTCCCGTTGACTGGATGGCTACAGTAAATGGTTGATAACCCACAAAATTATTTTTCATATTAATAAATCATATTCACAAATAATCATGTACACATTTCATGTTTCCTATTCCAATATGCACAATATCTCCTTTAATTTTTTAATCTACATTAAAGTCCGTTTTATAGGTAAGAATGAGGACTTTGACATTGATTTCTTGAGAGACAGTGAGCATGGTGAAGACTAGGGTGATGTGTGTACAGTTTGTTGCAGGTGAGGTTGTGGGCAGAGGAGCTTTTATGAATGATAGAGCTAACAAGACAAACAAGGAATGCATTTGAAAATTCTAGGTGGGAAATCTTTAGAGTCTTTAAAATCTCTGAAACAAATTTTAGAATCCTTAAAGAAGGCAAGAAAGCTAAGAATATCCTTTCTATTTCTACCATTTCTCTACCATTGAATACTTGAGCGACTTTTCATATTGATGTACATATATAGGCAACATAAAACAGGCTAATACAATGATTTCAATTTAAATGGTACCTTATAGTGTTCCTTAATGTTCCTTAAAAATAAGTACATCATATCTGTCAGAATTGGCTTCGAATGAAAAAGCACCCTGCAATGGTGGAATAACTAAGAGGACCAATTTCAACCAGCAATTCCCGGACTATAGTCAACATCTGCAATCATTGCCTCTTTGATTATAAATGTTACGCGTTATAGAAAATAGTATCACCTGCCACAGTTAAGGTTGCAAGCAAATGTTGATCCTCTTAATCCTCTGAATTATATGATCTGGCTATATATTAGCAATGAATCATACTTTATGCAATAGACTATGGGGGAAAGAAATCACAAAGTTGAAATCATGTATCAGGATGTGAGCTTATTGCACAAATGGATAAGTTCACATCCTGATACACATAATTAAAATACATAAATAAGATATCAATACTGGAAAAGGGTCATTTGTCTTACCTCTAACCTCTGAACTATTTCCCTGATGTCATCCGCACAGTTTTCCAGAGCAGACAGTAGAATGCATTCTCCTCTTTCATAAAAGATCTTTATAGTCATTAATCCAGAGGTCCAACCAATGACATCCCTACATGAGCAATTAAACACCACGTTTTTGGATTCTTGCTCTACCAACACAATGAATTCATTGGAGATTCCAAGAAGGCATTCAATATCACTGGCCTGGCCAAAATCTCTAGCAATAACATTCCACACAATAGCTCCCAAACTGTAAAGCTGTGCATCCTTCCGGGGCCTTGACTTTTCCTTCTTCTTTGCCCCAAGTGTTATAAAGCTGAATTTCACAGAGGAATCTACTGTAGTTGTGGTCACAAAGTTTTCTGCCAAATCTTTCAAATACTCCTGTCTTGTTCTAGTAGCCATTGCTCGAAATTTCTCCGATTTGTGCGCTGCATTTTCTGCGTTGATAACTTTGGCAAGAAGAAAGTCCCTGAAGACAGCAGACTTGGGAAACGTGACTCCTTTGGGAATAGGTGGGCCAAATGGGGGCACATCTTTAGATCTCGAAACAGCCACACTGTAGGTTTTTAAAGAGAAATCCATGTTACACTTGTAAACATAACTTCAAACTAATTTGTGTTTTTTATATGACGAGAAAGAATATGAAGAGTTGCTCTGCATTTGGCATTGGCTACAATCGTACCATTGTCCCAAATCATCGACTGAAATCATTGGTTGAAAATTGTGATTTGACTACAATCCTTATTCTATGAGCAAATGAATTCACTGAAAATTCCAAGAAGACATTCAGTATCAATAGACATCGGATATTGATTCTTAATCTGCGAGACACACAGAAAGAAGACATACAGCATGTGGAACTCTCGGTAGTTTGATTTGAAGACTCTAAGGCAGTGGTGCTCCAGGGTCTGACTTTGTATTGAGCTGATAGTCATCAATAGCATGTTGACCTATTGTCACTAATTTATTTATATTGTTTTGCCATCTCCCTTTCTGCTATTGCCTTTGATAGCATTAGATCACCCAACCCCAAAATTCCCTACTTCACCTACTTGAGCATTCACTCATCCTAGTACTGGCTCTTATTCATGTTTTGGTTGCAGACTATAGGAAGCTCATTCACAAAACCTGGCCATATTGGTTTATGAAGTAATCCACAACTACTGACAGCAATTGAACTAGGTTGAATTTCATTATTCCTACTGGAGGTATTTGCTCCTGCAACTCATCATGATAGTAGCAAAGCACATCTTCTTTCACCCTGTTGATGCCTAAAGAACAAATAGTCACTAAACAATTATTTGAAATATCATTCAAAGAAAGGAGAAAAGATGGACACAAGTACTTTGCATTGAAATAACATACAGTAGAAGTGAGAAAATAAACATTCTGTCTCCCCTGATGTGCCCATTTTTCATTTTTTTCCTGCATGAAATCTACATCCCTCATATCAACAAATTTGTCACTGCAGAATTGTAGATTTTCCATGAAAAATAATCCCAATGGAACTGAATTAAAGCAATATTCTAGGACAAACTAGAGTGATTGGCAATATACCTTCTCAGGGGACAAATCAAACCATTTTTTCCAATATTAATAATGATGACTCACCGTTGCAATACATCATGAATAGTAAGTTAAGCTTAATGAAGCAAATGAACTAGTCTTTCTGAAGTAGAGACATTGTTATGAAGATCATTTCATTTACCACCATAAAAATCAAAGAAACGAATATGAGAAAACAACCCTCAATATGGGTTCAACAGCGTTGTTCACTCACCTGTAACAGACATTCTCTGTACATGGATTATGAACTCGGACTATGACAAAAACGTGCTGGAAGTGGGAGCGGATATTTCTGGGAGTGAAAGGAATTGCTCCAGGCTCTTGAAAGACAATTGTGACAATGTCATTACCTATGTGTCTCTTCCTTAAGAGCTGGGGAAGTAGAGAAACAGAGATTCCAGTTAGCCGGGTTTATTATATATTCAGTGCTGCTCAACCAACATTCTCTACAACACGGCTCACTGTGCCTAATGTTTGAATTGGCTATTTTTTTCAATACCAGTTAAATGTTATCTTTTCATTATTACTTACCATCAACATATTCCTCTTGTATAACAGGTGTGAACTTTTGTAAGAGCTCTGAGATGTTGTCCAGCGTGAAGGGCGCTATATAAATGTAAATTGTTGTTCTTGTGCAATATCCTACTCTTTGGCGAAAATAATTTAAACTATTAAAAGGATCTGTTGAACTCCAAACCATACATGGCTGCAGTATTTTCCAAAGCAATCAATATTTCTGCTGCCTGCTGTAACAATGTGGCACGGCACAGAAAAAATGAAACCCTAACACAAAGTATATGGGCAGAACTATATCTGGGTGAAATCTGTGGCTTGAATACTGCAACAAAAATAAAATTCGGATGATTTCACTGACGTTATCATAAGTACTGAAATGTGTATGTTTCAAGATCCCAAGTTTATGAAAATGATTAGTTTCCAAATATTCTGCAATAATAAAAAAAGTATTATAACTGTAAAGTATTATTCCATATAGTACTATATTAATAGCCGACATAAAAAAAACAGGCACCCAAGCATTATTAGAGTTCTACTATAGCATCTATCCAGACTCAGCTTTTGTAAATCAAATTGCAGATCATCTCTACAGCTGCAAGGTATAATAACAACAACAACTTGCACTTATATAGTGCCCAGCACATGGGGTAGCTTCCCGGAGTGCTTAATCTTCCAGGATCTTCCAGCTAGCAACCGTCATGGCTTAAATGTACATCTATTTTTAAAACTCTGTATTACATTCCGTATAACTTATTATGCAAGTGTTAAAATGTGAAGGAAAACATTTCTCAGCATTGTGAAGCCAGAACAATATAAAATCTGTATCTTTGGATTTACCTGTCATCAGATACAACTACTGAACTGTTCAGAAGTGACCTAAATTCCTGTATGTTCTCTCTGACAAGCAGCTTTCCTAATCAAATGAGCAGATTCTTTTTTATGGCTTTTATTCACAGTAATTATCTCATTTCTTTCTAGATCCAAGAGAAATGAAACACTTGAGAATCTGAGCTTTTGCAGTTGGTAGACATATTGTATGCTTCACTGCTATCTCTGCTCCGATGCACTGAATGAATAGTGCAATCGCTCTTTCTTTTCAACTCTTACCTGGCTCTAATGGGAATGTGAAGAACTTGAGAGCATGATCTTCCAGCTGGCAACCGTGTTGGCAGATCTATTCTTAAATGTTCATCTATTTTTAAAACTCTGCACTACATTCCATTTTACTGCCTCTTAATATTCATTTGTTTCACAAATCAAGATCATAAGAAAGGTTTGGATGAAAAAAGATTCTTCAGCCCATTTGATCTCATCCTTCCAGAATAATCACCCTAATGTCCCGGAGAACCTTAGAAATTTACAGCTCAGAAGGTCAATTGGCCCAACATGTCTATGGTATTTTTTTTAAAAAAGAGCGTAAAAAAAATTCTCATCTATTTGCTCGTTTGCTAGGCATCTTAAATTGATGCCTTCCAGGCACTGACTTACCAACCAGTGGAAATAATTTCTCCCATCATAGCACCAATTGTTTCTTGTGTCCTGGCCTCCCACCCACTCTGACTATCCATTACAATGGTTAATTACCCTCCATGTAAATAACTACTTTTTCGTGTCTGTCCTGAAGTTGCCATTTAATATTTGCAGGATAATATCCTCGAAACACAAGAAGGACTGTAGATGATAGTAGCATACTTATGGCCACCTTCTTCACATACAGAATGGAATATAGGAAAGCACAGGCAACACAAATATTTTCATTAGATTCATACTCTTCTCTCTAATTATATCCCTGAAATTAAAAAATAAATTGGAAAAAAAAGCAAACCTCTTAAAAAAAGCTGCTCCAGTCAAATTAACTCTCTTGGGCCATATTTCCTTTATGTTCTCCCACCTTGGCATGTGGTCTAATTCCTGATTTAATACAAAGGACCTTCATATCTTATCTCATCCCTCATTCCTGTATTCCTAAAATCCTCCTCATTGTAGCCTTATTTGAAGAAAACAACTATCTTAACTACATTATTCAATGACAATTCTTCAAATACATATTTGAGTCATTTACCCAATGGGAATATGTGGGAGGGTAGGTTCCTTTAATAGTTAGAGTAAGACAAGCCTCTTTGACACCAATACTGCTGATAGAAAAGATTTACTTAAACATGAGCTTTGACCTATGACAACTAACCTATTATGCACATTCTAATGCCTCTATTCAATATAAAGCTTTTGCTATAATACTCATCAATTGCTGCACAGAAGGGAGGGATCCGTGGGCAGATTTCACAATATGTGGCTAAGAGTCCCCTAATGTGAATCATAACACTAGGATTTCTTCTCTGGCAAGTATCCCAGTTTAGTCATCTTATTCAAATACGTAAAAAAAAATCTGTTAAAAAATCTTCTGAGGAGTTAATATTGTGGTTTACAATGGTGTCATAAGGAAAGTAAAGGAACAGATGGGAATGTCAATAAAGCTGTTTGTCATTCAGCCAATTGCCTATTCTCTTCTTCTACAGCCCATTTAAAATATTAAACTCCAAGGTTAGTAATGGTTCATATCTTTGTTTCAAATCAAAAAGAATCTCTCAACAATGTATCTTATAAAGGCTGTTGACTGTGAAAGACATTTTCCTGGTCGAATCATTGCTGGAGCATTCAGTTGCTGAATCTCTGTACTAGAGTAGAGGCTCTTAATATTTTCACTCTAACAGGACATCCCGCTGAGGTTCCCTATTGTGAAGGATAACGGTTTGCAACAGTTGGAACAGAAGTTCCTGGAGTACAAGACGGTGGTGAATTCCACTTCATCTTACCCAATTAAAATTAACAACACTGGGAGACAGCATCAACAAATCACTGAGATTTGCTTTCATATTCCCAGGCAACTGGTCCTTTATTAGGAAAAATGTGGTTTCAAATCTTGCAACAATTAGTGTTTTTTTTGTTGCCGACACACAATACTAACCACTGTGAACTGTTGTCAATGAAGAAGCTTTTGGCCTGCTCAGTCAGGTAGCTTCAGTAATGACTCTAGTCCAGCCCTTTAAATAGTTTAATGGAAAGAACAAAAAATATAGAAATCATCTCCATTGGAAACCTGTTAAATTTCAATTGAAAATTAATTTTCAGTAGTGACTGATGTGAAAGCGGCTCTATGAATGCAATTTGTTATAACAGAGAGCACGTTTTATATAATCCCATGATAATCAGCAGTTTCTATTCTCTCTTCGCTTTCCCAGATTTACTTAAATAAACATACACTCTCCTGCTTTACATTGCTAAATAATTTAATTCAAATTGTAAAAACTGGTGCTGACAATGTGCAATGTGCAGATTCCAAAAAATGTCAAAGATATAAAATTAAACATTGGTGCTTCTTGTTGTAGAGCTTGAATATAGAAACACTTTGTTTTGCTAGTTATTTTTCCTTATACAACTATATGCTTATACATTATCACTATTCTACCCAAACATCAATGGATCATGGTTTCAATAGTAGAAGTTACTACCTATTGTATTTCCAGCTAAATATACAATCACTTGGAAACAAGCTGTGACTGCAGATGTATTAAATTACATATGAAAGGGGAAAATGTGTTGAGATACTTTATATTCAGTTCACATTATGTCACAATGTATTGTATTTTCTTGTTGTTCCATTTGTTTTGTATCACTTTCGACGTTGTCAGCAACATGTCTTTGCGTGCAGTGTAGTTTATCACCTGCTTATTATATCCAAATAGTCAGATTGTTAGCACCTTAAAGGTGAAAGCCCAAATTTGAAGCTCAAGATTTTTTTGCAATTAATTGGCAGCAGATTGGCCAACAACACAGATTCATTAATCAGTTACTATCAGCAGACTTCATTTGCTAGCTACTAGAATCCAATTAATCATAGCTGTTGAGGTATTTTTGCAGCTATTACAATAAAGCATAGCAGGGATATTTAATTCACAAGTTAAAAATGCAAAACTGACATGTAAAATCACTATTACCCTGGCATCGTTGATCATCTTTCTTGGGGTTATTAGAATACCACTTTGTAGAACTTAACAGCAGACACTGATGTGCATCTGGGAATCTATGTATTTAATGGAGACTGGAATTTCTATGAACTGGGAAATGAGGCAGATGATACTGTTGCTACAACAAGGTGATTCAAGTGAAGGCATTTGGAAATTTGCTCACGTCATAAACTTCCTTGTTCTAGAACAGTGAAAGGTGGAACTTTAGCTACCTGCACATCAAAATAAATAAATAACAATCCTTGCAAATGGTATAGTGCCTTTCACTTTGGAGAATGTTCCAAAGTGCTTCAAAGGACATAATGTAAAATGCAATTACTGTGTGTTTTGTGGGAGAACGCGGCAGCTAACTTGTGCACGGCAAGCAACCATGAAATAAATAACAAATTGCATTTGGGGAACTGTTGACCAGGACACCAGGATATATTTCACACAGAGAGTGGGGACAACATTGGACTCACTACTTGAAGCTGTGGTCAAAGCAAACAGCAGCAATGTATTTAAGAGAAACTTTGATGCATACATGAGAGAGAAAGGAATAGGAGTAGTGGGGGCTCATGTGGAGTATAAACACCACCACCGCCACAACAACTTGCACTTATATAGCGCCCTTCACGCAGGGTAGCGTCGCAGAGCGCTTAAGCACCAGCACAGAGTAGTTGGGCTAAATGGCCAATTTCCCTGCTATAGAGTGCTCCAATATGTATAATATTTTATTTTGATGTGTTTTTGAGAATGTTCTTTATAATGTAAAGCAGATGATTTTTTTTGCTACAAAAAAACCTTTCCTTTGATTTCCCTAATATCATTCATCCTGCTTCAACTTGTGGTTGCAAAAGGTGTCTCCACTTCCATGCTACAGGGTCTGCATTTTAGCTCATTTGGCATAACTGCTACGTAACAAAGAGGTCAAACAGCATTGCTGGTAATGTGACCAAGAGGCATTCCAAAATTCATCATTAATCAGTGATGGCAAAATACTGACAACCCATTAGTAATGTACCACCAGGTTTTTTTAATGAACCCTTCAACTGTCACAGCAGGTCTACAAAGCCTCCAGCCATTGTTGGCCAACCAGTTCAATGCGTTTGGGCTCATACTGTGTGACACAGAATAGATTAGAGTAATAAAGCCACTTAAATATCAGAATTCGATTAATACTGTAATGACTAACCGGCAAAAATCTTTTAAAACACAAAAAATTTTTTGCAAACTTTACTTTAGCTCAGTTTATCAACCTGTTTTCTGTTCCTATCCTATAATTTGCTTTGCTCTATCAATTCTAATATTTTTTGTTTATGTATTTCCAGCTTTAAACGCTTTCCTATTCACTCCTTGCTCCTATTCTGGAATAGAGAAGCAACTTTTAAAAAAGAAATAAGTGATTTAATTGGTTTAAACTGGCCTGACAACTGTAAAAAGCCTGAGGTTTGACAGAACTGTATTGCAGAATTTAAAATTGTGGTTTCCAATCTTCAAATGAGAAATGGAAGCCAGAAATATTGCATGTATACACACACATCTGTGGTGATTGCAGGAGTTAACAACAAGATCACCCAGGAGTAGTGGGCACGCTCGGGTTGCAATATTTACGGTGAACTTATTTACATCCTGACTGACCAGCTGTGCATTTCCAGAATTTGCTGTTTTACTGAATATTATTTTAAAGTCTGTTACCAAATAAGATTAGTGAACATGTGGTTTATCTTCCTTGGATTGACGAATCATTCTGAGACAGCTCTGCTCCACTCATCTATCAGTGCCAGGGAAAAGCACAGAAGATTGATTTACAAGCATTTCTCAAAGGTGCCATCCAAGATAATTTAAATACCAATTCCTTTGTGACTCACATATAGTTCTTTACAACTGCTATTGTTTCTTTAAAAGAGCTATTTATTTTATATTCTACTGCGAAGAAACCCTCGAGTCCTCTTTCATTCATTTTCAACCTATAAGGCACAAAATTTAAACAGGGATCCAAAAACTGCAGAATGGGTTACTGTAATACTTTTAAAATTAGTCCTTTAAGGTTTTGGAAATTAGACAATCTATTGACACATCAATGCACCGCACCATGAAATAGTGGAATGTAGCTCTAGATCACAATTCCCAATGCATTTAAGTTCCCAACTGGCTGGCCTTCCACAAAGTAGATAAAACACAGACATTTAGTTAACATTACGTTCAAGTCCTTAGTTGAAGTGCAGCCATGGCAACAACTTAAACCAAGCTGTCTGTCAGGCCTCTCAGTTATCAAATATTCTACAAGGTTGTTTTTTTTCAGGGGAGGTGGGAGAGAAGAAATGAAAGAAAAGAAAATGACGCAAAGGGACATAAATAAAAGGGCCTGGGAGTCGCAGGAGCTTATGTATACAATCCTGAACGAACTATACTATTCCCACCAATGTGAGGTGTTTCAAGACGTTATCCTATGTAAAGGCTACTACATAAATGTGTTGCTATTGAACTAAATTTGAGAATGCTTATTGATGCAGGAAAAAATAAGTCCAGCTTCAGATCTACAGTACTTTTTAATGTACAACTCTTTGATGTGTGTTGTAAAGAAATATTACAATATGTTACCAAAAGGGCATTTTAAGATCCAATTGAACTTTGCAATATATTTTAAGACTCAATTTATAAACTGATTTCACAGATTAAAATGTAATCATAGACTCCTGAAGTGGACCTTAATTATAGGGCAATCTTTGAAAGTTAGCCAAGATGCATCAGAAGACTGATTGTAACTAATGTTAGCCATTTCTAGGTTTGCATTTTGCTGGAAATGTAGACTTGTAATGTTATTTACAGTAGCTACTGGAACAGAGACAAAATAATGCAACTTACCAAATAATTTTATTGCATTAGTTCTAAAAGCAGATGCCATAAAACTAACAGTATTTCAATAGTAGAATTCACAAAAGCCAGATGTAATGGTGAAATGCAGACTCTGTGGACTACACTTACTACAATATTCTCTTGAAAGATTGCTGAAGACCACTGCGTCTGCATTTCACTGTTACATTTGGCTTTTCTCCTGGTCAACAATACCTCCAAATAAAATAGGTCATTCACTTCATGGCTGTTTTGGGGACAATGAATTGCGCAAATTGGCTGCTACATTTACTGATAAAATATACAAAACCTATTCTATTGTAAATCCTATTAAGCTGTTTGATGCTGTGATAAGCCACTATATCAAATACAAGGATTATTATTATGAAAGCCAATGCTGCAATATATCCAAGTGAATATTATAAATTGGTGGGGGATGGGGAAATGGAGAACTGAATTTGTTAACATTCCACTTTAATTAACCACGAGTTCCACATCTGTTTGTGCTGGCAAGGATGTGAAACTGGGCAGCTCTAATTGCAAACTGCTTAGGGATAGGACTCCTAATTACTGGTCCTATTTCACTTCCTGCTTCCAACATTCATTCAATAGTCCTCGCTACTCTAGATTTAGAAAATAACTGGCAATTAGTTCAAAATTGAATAGGATTTTGGATTATAAATCTCGTGAATAGTGCATTTTGGTTTGCATAGAAACGGCAATAAGTGAATTGAGCTACAATGTAGTTATAAAAAACGCTCTCTGATTTGTGAACTTTGCACTTAATGAAATGAGAGATGGTGCTGAGGAATAAGCCATTTACATTTTTCAAACTAGTGTCAAAATCAAGCACTGCCAAATAAAATATAAAACTCAGAAGAATAATTTAGAATGCACCAAGACAGTGGTTTAGATTTGCAAAGAGCAATTTTGGGACAGACACCAAGACGTTTATCTTTATTCAGAGGGTAATTAACGATGAGAACAAGTAGCAGGAAGGGTGGCTGAGGCCAGCTCACTGCACGCATTTAAAAAGCAGCTTGATGCTGTGATGGGAGGACAGTAGAGTGAGTATTCTGGAGGGATGAGATCAGATGGACTGAAGGCTCTTCTTCATCCAAACTAATCCGTGATCTTGTGTTGTACCAACGTGGTATTTCCAAATCTCAAACCAACTATCCCGAGGTCCTTTTTGAGCCAGGTTGGTAATTAGTTTTCTATTTATGGACTCGTGCCCATTAGGCACTCGATTGCGTATACTCTCTTATTAAAGAGCAGCTACGGGATTTATGCTGGTTCTTGCAATTGAATAGGGTAGGAGCAATTGGAGGAGAGGAATTTCCAATTCATTAAGTCCACGAACAATAAAATGCTCAACAACACAGGCTCATTGATAGATCGATAAGAGAATACGTGCTCTTGCTTACTTACAAATTCAAAGTGTATTGTGAAAGGATCCCACATACCTGTTGTCGGTTGTTAGGAGTGTACGGAAGCATAGTAGACACGTGAAACATTATTTCATAATCCTTGTAAGTAGTGTACAGGGAATGAGTTCCTGTAGAATCAGCTAAAACACAAAAACAAGACTTGATAAATACAATGTTTCAAAGAAAACCCTAGAACATTTTGGTTTACATGCATTGCTTCCCCATTTAAAATATTATCTTTTGGTACTTCAATGTTTTTTGATGTGCTTACCAGGGTTAAGTGTAATTAAACACTTTTTCCATCAGGTAGAGCCAAGCAAGAATAAATCTCTTACTCTGCCTTACAATATATGGAAACCCCAATATCAGAAAACCATTCTCCTGCACTGCTATGTTTTTTTCCCATTTCCCACATGACCCATATTTCTAGTGACCTGAGTGAGATTGTCACTTGTTCCAAATAGTGACTATTTTCGTATTCCTACAAACTGAACGGAGACTGACAAATTATTTCATACAAGGCCATTACAACTGGAAAAGGAAGAAGACTTATTTCAATACATTACTTACAAATATGAAATAGCCCTTAGGGTCTTCTATTATTCACTCGCAATCTGGAAGGTATAGGATTTGGAGCAAATTTGAGTCACACGCCCATAAATGAATGTAATATTGTGGCAGCCCACTATACCCACCACAAGTATCCAAATGGAAGTAATAGCTTGTAATTTGATTTTAAAGTTTGATTCAAAATTTACAAGGCAAAATATTTGTGGTTCTTTTTTGCACTTATTGCATTTTTTTCCAAGCAACTGGAAAAAAAATCTGTTGAAGAATGCCATTCATAGAGCTTATTATATTCAAGAGGTACTGTGATTATTGAATAAATACAACTATTGGAAACAAATTTAGAGTTTTATTAAATAGCAGCCATTCATTAAACCTAGTCTAACACATCTAGCAAAGCTATACATAATCTGGATTGCTTGTTAAATATTTTAGCTAAAATTGTTACTTTTTCACAGACTTTATTGTTCAAATTGTTGCGCCCCACATCCCCAACCAAGGGGAAGGTGGGAGGGGAACCATCCAGTTTCCAGGCATCAACACTAGCAACGCAAGTACCACTGAAGTGGCTTTTTCAATCAGGAATATATACCAAAATACTACTTCTACCCTTCAACACAAGTCAGTGTGTCCAGTGATACGAATTGCATCTTTTCCTGATTTTGTTTCCCCAGCTGAGGCTGGGATTAAGAAATTCAATGCTAATCCCCAAACATGGTGCCATTAACTCCCTCATTACACATTCCTTAAAGAAGCTTATTCTACTGAATCAATTCAAAAATATGTTGGAGCCAAATATCTAATAGTTATAATTCACTTGTGGTTGTTCATTTTATGCTTCAGACTGATGGTTAGAGGCAACCTGGAACATATGTTTGTGTAGCTATCATATGAAAGGCTACTTTTAAATAACAGTTCTAAAATATAAAACAAGCAACAAGAGGTGATGAAAACACATACATGTACAATATAATAATAATAATCCTTGCATTTGATATAGCGCTTTTCACATCTTCTCAACGTGTCAAAGCACCTCACAGAATATACTGTAAAGTGAATTGATTGTATATTTGTGGGCGAAACGTGGCAGCCAATTGCGCACAGCAGTGTCCCACAAACAGTCGTGGATTGAAAATGACCAATTTATTATTGTTTTTGGTTTTGGAGGGATTATTATTAGGCGTGTGGCATAAGGAAACTTGCCCAAAGTTTCTCCCTGCCTGGAATTGAACCCGGGTGTCTTGCTTGCAAGGCGAGTGCTCTAACCACTGAGCTACAGGACTCCACATGTGCATGCTACCAACATTCCTGATTTTAGTAGAAATCCAATGTACAATTCCCCTCTGCCCACCTTCCCTCATTCTCCAATAAGAAAAGCAAAACCGATTCGAGTTTGGACTACCCAGCACTCATAGCACAAGTGATAGGACCCCATCAAAACTGCATGACCTATACTTTTCTTTAATTAACTGCTCCTTTCACCCCTACCTCTCTCCTGAAGGTTTTGCTTCTTGCTGGACCGTTGTTCTACAAGTCCAGTAGCCCCACAGTACATTACCTAACCGGACAGTCTTCAAACAGATGCCTGGACTGCAAGGGTCAAAAAGTTCTTTGACTATTGAGGTATTATAGTCAAGCCCCTATTCTGTGTGTATCAGGAAAGGGGGGGAGGGTTGTAAAAAGAGTTCACTCAACACTGATCAGAAGCAGAAAGTTTTCAGATTTTTTCCTATATTAATCATTGTGATTCAACTGAGACCAATTAACAAACTAGCAATGAAATCTAATGACTTTCTGAACTGTATGACTCAGTGATACACCAAGCAATGCTCGTAGGCGCTAGAGGAGCTTGACGTCCTACAATTTAATAGAATGCTCTCACAAGCTAGGACTGTTGGGATACCCTGCACCTCTTTTGCATACTCCAACTGAATACGAATAGACAGTTTAGATCTCACTATTCTATGTAGAGGGTGGCTAATATGTGGAAGTGTGGTGGAGTGTGTTAGACTTCAGGTGATGCAGCAGTTTCAAAAGGGATTTGATGGGTAAATAAATTGGGGGGCTGTGATATAGGAGGAGATGGTATTTTGAAAAGAGGACTGGTCAGCTGGATCATAACGGCCTTTTAAAGCCCTGCACTTTCCGAAGTTTCTTACAGAGAAAAATACAGAAATTGCAATAGTGCTGCACAAATCCCACAGCCAACTAATTGCGAAGTCAGGACCAGGTGTGTACTGATGTCACTGTAATATCACACTAGAGAATGCAGGATGGGCTAAATGCTCACCGTAACATTCAAGTGAATGTGGGGAGCATTGCTCACAGGCCTCTCACCATCAATGTAATCTTTAATGACTGACAGTCAACTCGTTTTAGTTATTAGAATATGAATAGTGGCACTGGAGGTCACCACAGTTTAACTTTGAGCTTCTTTCTCTTGGTAGTGCTTCACACCAGCTGCCTTTAGACTACAGGCTCCTGCAGCCTATTTGACGGATGCAGCCCGTCACTTCTTCCCATGTTTATGGTTTTGTGATGAACCAATGTTGTCTGAGGTACAAATTGGAACAGCTTATTCCAAACCAGCCTTAGTTAAAATTTCAATCCTCCAGATTGAAATTAATCGCTTTGAGCCGTCTCAATGATGTGATAAGGCGATATATCAAAAGAAAGGATTATTATTATATTCCTCAGTAGTTCATTAGGTCAAGCCCAACCCTGACTGCAGGTAAAGAGCTGAGCTGACAAGGAGGTAAAGTCAGTGGGTTCCACCTCGAACTTCAGCAATTCAGAACTCAAACTGGCCATGAAGAGATCAACACTTGCCTATCCTCCCAATAAGCATGCAGGATAAGAATCCTTGCATTCGGTATAACACCTTTCATGTCAGGAAGATGTCTCGAAGTGCTTCACAGGATTTATTATGAAGTGGAGTGACTGTATATTTTTGGGTGAACACAGCAGCCCACTGAGCACAGCAATGCCCTGCAAACAGTGGAGTCCTGTAGCTTAATGGTTCAAGCACTCGCCTTGCAAACGAGAGGACCTCAGTTTCATTCCCGGTAGGGCGAAACATTGGGAATGTTTCCTTACTCAACACGCCTCTGTTTATTTAGCAGTAAGAAGGAATTTGATTGTTGTCGATTGGCGGATCACTTTTCCATTGGTAATAATCCGTTCAAAAAAAACTTACCTAAAAAATTTATAATAGTGGTGTCACTTAATCCACAACAGTTTGTGGAACACTGCTGTGCGCAATTGACTGCCGTATTTCTCCCACAAAACATAGTCACTTCACTTTACAGTATACTCTGAAGTGTTCTAACATATCTAGAAGACGTGATATGGTGCTATATTCAAATGCAAGGAGTATTATTATTAAATAAATAGCCATAAAATGAATGACCCATTAGATTTTGGGGAATTGTTGGCCGGGACACCAGGAGAAACTCCCTTCACTTTTCAAATACTGCCATGGGATGTTTAACGTCCACCTGAACAGGCAGATGGAACCTCGGTTTAACATCTCATCTGAAAGACGGTACCTCCGACAATGCAACACAACCTCAGCACTGCATTTGAGTGTCAGCTTAAACTATGTGATTCCAAGTCCTGATGGTGGGCTTCAACCCACAACCTTCTGAATCAGAAGCAAGAGTGCTACCACTGAGCCAGGCTGATACATGATGTATAGGAAGGAAGGATATTTGGATCCACGGTCACAATAATCCGAGTCCTGTAGCTGCAGTGGTTAGAGCACTCGCTTTGCAAGCGAGAGACCTGAGTTCAATTCCAGGCAGGGCGAAACCTTGGGCAAGTTTCCTTACTCCACACACCTAATAATAATCCCTCCAAAAACAATAAATTGGTCATTTTCAATCCACGACTGTTTGTGGGACATTGCTGTGCGCAATTGGCTGCCGCGTTCGCCCACAAATATACAGTCAATTCACTTTACAGTGTGTTCTGTGAAGCGCTTTGGGATGTCCTCCCGACGTGAAAAGCGCTATATCAAATGCAAGGATTATTATTATTATTATTATTATAGCATAGGAAGTTACAAAGATAACACATAGATATAATTCAAAAGTAAAACTCTCCAAGAACTGTCAGGTACAGCTACTTAAATTTCATTTAAAACTTACTTTTATTGTCCAACTGTGCTCTGTACTTGCTGAAGCCCTTCAGTCTCACCCTGTGGCCAAGCAGATCAAGGAATTCTTCAAACACAGGCCCTCCAGCCTCATTGTTGTACATCTCTTCCTCAGTGCTTTGGCCTGCCTTACAGTAAAGGACTCCAACTTTGTGCTGGAAGCTTAGCTGAAATGAAAGCAATAATGTTAAATGTAACTGAAGTATTTACAGAATAATTTAAGAGATTGCAGGTTTAGGATTGCAGTAATTTGACTTTTCAATACAAATAAAAATCTCTTCTTCTGCCTCCCCATCAATTTTGTAAATTTATTTTCTCTCCATTCCAAAGTCCCCTTAAGACACACACCCTCCTCTATGAAAATGATCCGCAGAGATCCTGTTCTGACACTAGTCTAAATTAACCACACGGAGATGCACAATATTTGACTTGGTTTGTGTACCCTGCATTTATTTTTATTCCTTCAGGCTCTTCAGCTCCTCCTCTCTTGACTGTTAACTCATAATATGGTGAACCCATGTCATACCACAGTTTAGCACATTAGTTTATAAATGTGCTGCGCCAATGAGGTTGTTAAGATTTATCTTCTGTTAAAAGCGAATTATGTATGGGAAATTAGGTTTCAACATAGCATGCAGCATAAAACAGATGCTGTTTGATTAACTCAATTATAGTGCAACCAAAATCAATAATCAATTCAATCTGTTTGAATATTTATTACACCAAACTGATTTTTTTAAACTTATGAGCGCTATTTGAGAATCTGCTGTTTAAGCACTTTATTCCATAATTTTTTCCCCTTCTCCTCCACTTAAGACTCTTGCTGGAGTAAAGATCCACAGATAACAGTACCTCATCCAAATGACTATTTTTGCATGAACTGGACAGTGAGTGTTGGCAAGCTATTTGACTTTGGACAACATCACAGCCAAACCTAATGGATGCAAACTTCTCAGTAGAAATCACTGGATTGAGAATCCCTAAGAATGAAGAATCTTCTGATTTTTCCCCTCCCTCGTCCAGGGACCCCAAAGCCAATTGCAATGCTCCAGTTGCTGCCCTGGCTGAAATTAGCTAATGCAGCACAAAGAGGAATTCAAACCTGTGACCTTCTTGACTGTATGGCTTAGCACTACATTGGGCAGTGGCTTCACACACTCGGCTATTGAAAGAGTCACGTGGATTTTGGTGGGAAAATTGCAATAAACTGCATGATGGAGTTACTGCAAAGAAATATAGAAATAGCTAAATTGATATAAAGAACCAATCATTCTCTTCAATTGCAGAATGCTCCAGTTAATTATAGCCCTGAGTTCTGATAGTCTACAAAACAGATCAAGGCTTTCCTAAAGATTGCCAGAGTCCAAATGTTCATGCACATACTCATCCTTATAATTGAATCCCAAGTCCCTATTTTGTACCACTATTTTAAGATGTTGTTGCTTGTAACCATAGAAAAGTAGCAGGAAGTCCTGTTTTAACCCTGAAATACTACTGGTCTCATGTGTCAACTGCACTGTGAAGCCACCTCTTTTCCTTTAGACATTTTTGTTTGGCAAACTTCAATAAAACGTGTAATTTCACAATACTGCACTTTTAACTGACATTATCAACTTCTCCCTATCCACTGGCACTGTTCCCACCACCCTAAAAACAACTGTCATCACCCGCATCCTCAAAAAATCTTCCCTGGACCCATCCCTACTCTCCAACTATTATCCCACCTCCAACCTCCCACTTCTCTCCAAGGCCCTGGAACGAGTCGTCGAGTCCTAGCTTCGCTCTTTCCTCTCCCGCCATTCCCTCTCTGAACCCATCCAATTTTCGTGCTGCCCATAGTACAGGAACAAAAGCAGTCCTGGTCAAAGTCACTAATGACATTCTGAACATCTGTGACCAGGGCTCTCTCTGCCCCCTTGTCTTCCTTGATCTTTCTGCCGCCTTCGACACTGTTGACCACTCTATCCTCCTACACAGTCTCTCCTCTCAGTTCAATCTTCGCGGACCACACCCCCCCCGGCTGGTTTGACTCCTACCTCTCACACCATTTCCACCGCCTCTAACAGCTTCTCCTCCAACCCCCACACCATCACGTGTGGCGTCCCTCAGGGCTCTGTCCTTGGCCCTCTCCTTTTCAATATCTATATGTTCCCCTTTGGTGACATCATCCACTGACATGGGGTCAACTTCCACATTTATGCGGATGACACCCAACTCTACCTCTCTGCCTCCACCCTCAACTCCAGGACCACTGCCCTCCTCACAGACTGCCTGTCGGACATCAAGTCCTGGATGAGAGACAACTTCCTGCAGTGAATGTCAACAAGACCGAGGCTCTCCTGCTTGGCTCCCGTCGGCACCTCAGATGCTGAAAGCACCTCCCTCCATGGATGCACTCTACATCTCACGGAGCCGGTCCGGAACCTCGGTGGCCTGTTCAACCCTCAACTGTCCTTCATACCCCACATCCGTGCCATGACCTGGTCTGCCTTCCCCCACCTCCACAACATCGCTCGGCTCTGCCACTGTCTCACATTGCAGGCCGCCGAGACCCTCATACGTGCAGGCTCAACTACGCAGACTCCCTGCTTGTCGTCCTCCCCAACTCCTCCCTCAACAGGCTGCAGATCATCCAGAACTCTGCAGCCCATGTCTTCTCCTGCACCAGGCTCCGTGACCCTATCAACCCCATCCTCGCCCAATTCCACTGGCTTCCCATCACACAGAAGATACAGTTCAAGATCCTGGTCCTCACTTCCAAAGCCTTCCATGGCCTTGCTCCTTATTAGCTCTGCGACCTTCTAACCCCCTACAAACCTGTCTGCTCCCTCCGCTCAGTGGGCTCCGGTCTGCTTCACTTCAGCCGCCTCACCCGCCCCACCGTTTTCGGGGGGACCTTCAGCCACTCTGCCTCCACCCTCTGGAACTCCAGCCTGCAGTCCCTCTGCCTCGCCCCCTCCCTTGCCTCCTTCAAGACCCATCTCAAGACCTTCCTCTTCGACCGTGCCTTCAGTCACCCTCCTTCTCCCACCCACTCTCCCTGATCCCGACACCCATCTCGTGTCTGAAGCATTGATTGCCCTTCCCAGGTTGTCTCAAGAAAGTGGTGGTGGTGAACCTTCTCCTTAAACTGCTGCAGTCCTCAAGGCGTTGGTGCTATGTTGGGAGTTCCAGGATTTTGACCCAGCGACAACAAGGAATGGCTATATAATGTTCAGGTCAGCAATAGTGAGCTACTTGAAGGAGAACTTGAAGATATTCATCCCATGATACTGCTGTTTTGGTTCTCCTGGATAGTCGAGGTCCACTCAAAGCAAGGTTGGCAAGTCACTACAGCCATGGAGCATCGAGGAGAGAGCAAGTGAATCATAACCCGAGTAGATGGTGTCAAGCTTCTCAAGTTTTATTTTAGCTGCACTTATCAAATGACTGGTGAGTATTTCATCACACTCCTGACTTCAGCCTTGTAAAAGCCTTTGGGGAGTTTGAGCACATAGCCTCTGTCCCTGCTCTTGTAGTCAGTGTTTTGTGGCTGGTCCAATTAAGCTTCTCGTGAATATTGCCCCCCCGCCCCCCCCCACCGCCCACTAAGATGTAGATAGTGAAAGAGCTGGTGATGATTATGCCGTTGAAGGTCAGGTGGACAGGTTTTCTTTGTTGGAGATTCTAATCACTTGGCAATTCTGTGATGTGAATGTTACCCACGAAGATCTTGCTGCAGGCAAGTGTGGGCTGCTTCAATGTGAGAAGTGTTGGGAATGGAGTTGAACAATGTGGAACTTGCACTGAACAGTCCCTTCCCTGACTGTATGATGGAGTGAAGATCATTGATGAAGCAGCTCAGGGTGATTGGGTTAAGGTCAGTGCTCTGAGAAACTCCTACAGCTATGTCCTGGGGCTGTGATGATTGTCCTCTAACAATCATCTTCTTGTATAACTCCAGGAATTTGACAGTCCCACCCACCGCCCCCGACCTCAGCTTTCCTAGGGCTCCTTGATGCCTTACTTGGTCAAATGATGCCTTGATGTCTGGAACAGTCAATGTGACTTTCCTCTGGCCCTCAGCTCCCTAGTCCATTTCTAGATATGTTGACATACTTATTTCTCCAAGATGTATTCTTACTCTCAGTAGCACTGATCCATTATTGGAATGTTAATTTCAAGCCCTCCACTGCACCTAAATTATATTACACCTTTAGGTTATTTTCTGGTAGTTTCATTTTTGATTTTTTTCACTACGGAATGATCCACCACTTATCCCACAATTCCTGTGGATTTATGAAACTTCAATGCTTCATATTTTATTTTAAAATTCAAAATGTTTTCATTCAGCTGAACTTCAACTCCATACATAGTTTGGCAATCATTCCATTCAGCTTTTCTACCAAAATACAAATCTAACAAATAATCTTTAAATGTGGTGCAGCACATTCAAATGTCTGAAAATGCTTCACAAGTATTTACTGTTAATGTAATTTTATTTTAGACTATCCAGAACTCTGCAGCTCATGTCCTTTCCTGCACTAGCCTCTGCAAGCCTATCACCTCCACCCTCTCCTGGCTCCACTTCCCCCCCACAGCTCGGATGCAAGCCCCTGATCGTCTAACATCTTAGGACAACTTCCCCAACATGAAAAGTGCTATATAAATGTAAATTTGTATATTTGCAGGCAAACACAGCAGCCAATTTGTGCGCAGTGAAGTTTCACGAACAGCCATGAAGTGAATGACCAATTTATCTGGAGGAATGTTGGCTGAGACACGAGGAGAAACTTTGGATAGTGCCATGTAATCTTTGTGCCCCGCTAACCAAGCAAACAGGAACTCAGTCTCCTGAATGATAGCTCCTCCAACACTGCAGCATTCCCTCTAGTATTACCTAGGAGAGCAAGCTTAGTGTGTGCTGATAAGGGGCTTCAACCCACAATCGTGTGACATAGAGATGAGACTTTGAACCAAGCTGATATCCATCTTGAAGAACAATTAAAATACCCCAAATCAAAAGGCACTTTTACTTCCTGTACAGAAAACACAAATATAACATAGGCTATCAGATTGAAGTAATGCGCAGTGCCGAAATTTTGTCTAGAATGTTTATAGTTTTCAACATGGAAACTCAATGCTCTACATCACATGTCAGCAATCGTTACAGGACCGGCTATGATAT